TGGGTTTCCTCCGGGTGCTCTGACATGTTCTCCCTGTGTCAGCGTGGGTTTCCTCCAGGTGCTCTGACATGTTCTCCCCGTGTCAGCGTGGGTTTCCTCCAGGTGCTCCAGCTTCCTCCCACAGTCCAAAGACATGCAGGTTAACTGGTGACTCTAAATTGTCCGTAGGTGTGAATGTGAGTGTGAATGGTTGTCTGTCTCTATGTGTCAGCCCTGTGATAGTCTGGTGACCTGTCCAGGGTGAACCCTGCCTCTCACCCAGTGTCAGCTGGCAAAGCATACAAATCAAAGAAACAAAGCAAACAGCTTCAACATAACTCACCACAGGAATGAGCAGCAGTGTCTTTGCAGTCTGAGGATTTGCATAGTATATATATAGAGTAGCATGAATGAGTTACACCTGGTGCCCATTCAAACCTACTCGGGCTCTCTTAAGGTGGACCGACCTTTAATACGTTTAATGTGTGCAGAGCAGCATCACAACAGAACACAGACTTAAAGAACTTTATAAAGTTATTAATTAATTTGGGTAAATATACATGTCAGTATTTGTTATGGATGGTTCACCAGCAGATGTTGATATGTTTTAATTGTGTGACAGCAATGATGTCATTAAGGGTGCTGAGAAAATGACCTGAGTAGTGTCCGAAAGTTTGGATGAGCTCACCATACAGTCCTCTAGGTAGAACTTCCAATATAGTGAGTAGGGAGGAGTGAATGATTTCAGACACAGCTACTTTAAAACACGTTGAAAGGCGGAGATCAGGAGATACTTTTTTTTTAAAATACACATCATAAAAACAGTCTTTGAGGTTTCTGGTGTCTGAATAAGTGAAACAAATGGTCTCATTTCATATTTAAAACAGTCTCAGTTTACTCTTGTTCTCTTCGACTGGACAGTTTTGTTTCATCGTCTCAGATATTTTGACGTAAAGAATCTAATCAACTGTGTCGCTCCCGTCACAGATAAAATCTTTCAATCAGAGCTGGGAACCCTCTCTAATTTTTCTAATGAACCATAGTTTTCTGATATACGACATTTCCTTTGAAGGACTGTTAAAACATGTGTATTAGAACTCCTTGACACCTGGAAAAACCTGGAATCACCTGGAGACACAGTGATGCTTATTTTTAGAATATGAATATCTTTTACTTATTTCTTTAAACTAGTGTTTTCTCATCTCTCTGAGCTCTGCTGTCGTCCTCTCTCTTTCTCTCTCTCTCTCTCTCTCTCTCTTTCTCTGTCCTTCAGTTGGATTTCGCTCTCTGGATGCCGAACTGTCCCGCCTCCATGTTGCGTCCTCCTCCGCAGGTCAAAGGCTCGGTGAAGGAGGACGACATCATCTCCTTCCTGCCTGATGTGAACACAACCTGTCGCATCCTGATGGCGCTGACTATGCTCTCGCAGCCCTCCGTCAACTTTGTGAGGCTTCACCCTCTCCGTCCTGTCTAAACACAGAAAACATCAAACATACCGTTGTTAAAACATGGCTACGGCAGCCCAGAGGGCTCAACACACAAATTAAAAACATATCTTCAAAGATCTGACAACATATGCAGCAAAACGCTAAAACTACCAAATACAGAAACGCTGCCAGTGACAGCAGACGACAACGGAAACTGTTCGTTATACAGTTTTATAACTTTACAAACTTTATTATATTTCTATTAAATGTCTTTATTAACACACTAACAATTTGCTGACTTGCTGCTGTTAATCCTGTTACACTCACTTTTGTAGAGTATAATTTTCATTTTTACTTTGATTCTTATTGTAGTTTTATATTCTTCAAATAATTTATGGTACATATTTCTGTCCACGTGCTGGAGATCAACAAAGGTTCAGCTTACCTTAAAATGCATCAGCTAACATGATAATGCTAACATAGCATGCTAACATTCGAAATGTCGGCACAGTGTACATTTACATGCTACAGCATTTACAGTAAGTCTGTGTGTCTCCCCCTGCAGCTTCCTCTGTGTCACTACAAGGAAGCCATTTTCAGAGATGGCGCCCACCGCAGGCTGGTTGAGGCGGTGCAGGCTGAGCTCAAGGCCATTTCTGATGAAATCACAGAGCGCAACAGCCAGCTGGAGCTGCCGTATCCTTACCTCTGTCCTGGACGCATCGAGAACAGCGTGGCCATTTAAAGCTGCGTCTTCAGCGTCATCCAACAACAGAGATGATTATTATGAATGAAATGTGAACAGCTGGATGTGATGTTTGATTATATCCCGGATTAATAAGATTAAATCATTTTCTCCATCATGTCAGCTTTTTTATTTTTTGGTTTTGATTACAAAAATTGATCAATTTTACTTCTTTGGATTTGAACTGCTGTTCAAAAGTTACTGATCAGCTGTTAAAATGTTGTTTTATTCTTTCCTTCAGTTATATACATAAACCGTGAGAGGAATAAATTCTCTCAAAAACTGAAGTTTATTTCCGACATACAAGATATTGTCTCCTACCTTTGGCATATTATCTCCTACAGTGGCCTGCAAAAGTTTGGGCACCCCTGGTCAAAACTTTGTCTACTGTGAGTAGTTAACTAAGCAGAAGATGAACTGATGTCCAAACGGCAAAAAGTTAAAGATGAAACATTTCCTCAGTATTTTAAGCAACATCACTTTTTAATTTCAATCTTTTCCCGTTTCAAAAAAAAAAAAAAATACAAAAATGGCCTGAAGTTAAAGTTTGGGCACCCTGCATGGTCAGTGCTCACTAGCGCCCCCTTTGGCAAGTATCACAGCTTCCATACGCTTTTTGTATCCAGCTCAGTCTTTCAGTTCTTGTTTGGAGGATTTTCACCCATTCTTCCTGCAAAAGTCCTTTAGCTCTGTGAGATTCTTGGACCTTTGCAAAGTTGTGACGCTGAATGTTGTGAGGACACAGGAAAGGTTTTCTTCTGATGACTCTTCCATGAAGCTCATATTTGTCCAGGTGTGTCTGCACAGTAGAACAGTGCACCACCACTCCAGAGTCTGATAAATCTTCCTGCAGGTCTTTTGCAGTCAAACAGGGGTTTGATTTGCCTTTCTAACAATCCTACGAGCAGCTCTCTCTGAAAGTTTTTAACTTGACCTCCACCCAGTTCTTTTAGTTTTCAGAGTGCTAGGCAGCTGTTTAGAGGAGCCCATGGCTGCTGATTGTTGGGACAAGGTTTCAGGAGTCAGAGTATTTATAAAGCTTTGAAATCTGCATCAGCTGGCCTTTTCTAATGTTGACTGTGAACAAGCCAGAGCCCTAACAAGCTCATTAAGTTCTGGGAAAAGTTGTCTGAGAGCTCAGATGTCTTGGGGTGCCCAAAATTTTGCATGGTGTTGCTTTCACATGTTGAAAATCATGTTTCATTTTTAACTTTATGCCTTTTGGAGATCAGTTAATCTTCTACTTACCTAACTACTCACAGTAAAAGAAATTTTCACCAGGGGTGCCCAAACTTTTGTAGCTACTATACATACAAGACACTATCTCCTGCCAACTGGACGTTGCCTTTCCAGGCCTCTGTGATAATAGCCACTGTGACAGAGATGAAAACTGTATAATTCAGACACAAAATGTATTACCGACATTTGAAAAGAAGAAGATTGAAATGAGAAAGTGTCCCCATAGTGTCACATGACAGGGAGAGTACTGTGTGAACTCAGAAGATTTTTTTTTCAGTGACCCAGTTAGTGTGATTTTCTTTGGGCCCATTTTCCTCTGATTGGTTAATTGACTCATCGTCTCTGTGATCTGTGGCAGGTTTCAAGTATCTGTGGCTGAAACAAAAAAACCCCACAATGTTAAACACACGTTAAACTCAGAAGCTCGTTTTGTTAAACACACATGTTAAACTCAGAAGCTCGTTTTGGAAATAACATCAAATGCATATTATTTGTAGTAAATGTGACATCCCTCCTCATGTTGACATGTTTCACAAATCAAACACTATATTTTCAACGTCCGAACATGTGAGAGCTGAGCAGTGCTCACACATACTTTATGAAACAGGCTCCAGGTCTGATTGTTTACAGTCAAAAACTGCATCTGAGTGTGATTTAAATAAGTTTATTACATGCAGTATATTTGTTTGTTGTGTGTTTCTTTGCATATCCTCAAAATGTGAAGGCACAACTGTCTAAGATGAAAATATTGATAATACAGCAACGGTACTGAAAACTGTTGTCACATGATAAAAATGATCAATTGATTTTCACGTCTTGTCAGAAGGACCAGTCATTGTTCCGACAGCTCATAATTCAGAAACCTCAATAGCCTGAAAAATGTCCCATTGGCCTGAAAGCCCGTTAACCTTCACATAAAAAGTCAGTAGTAAACCACATTTAATCACAAGCCGTCCAACAGTTAAGATGTTTCTGTTTTTGTTTTCTTCAGTTCAGGTTGTGGAACGAGGGAAACTGAAAGCTGTGATTATATTTAATGTTTGTTTAAACCTGTTGGCTGTGATTGTGAACACACTGATGGTAACACTGAAATAAAAGATGAATTCAGTCCAGGTGAACTGTTTGTCTTCCCTGTAACATCTCTGTAATGTCATCTTTAAAGGTTCTGTATGTTACTTTCATAAATCTTGTTATCAGTGACCCCTCTCTCTGAGGACGCTAACTGTCTGTACTCTGTAGCTGCAAGCGGGCACCTGGGCGTTGACCAAAATAAATAACCATCATATAATAATGTTACCAATGTTTCTATATTTCATTTGGACCATAGGCTAAATGATAATTTACTGTTTGAAAATTACTTTATCAGCTAACGCTATGAAGCAACCAACAGCAGAAGCTAGCTGGCTAACCCTTCCTCAGTTTACAATTAGCTTATAGCCTAATCATTCCTGACTTATCATAATACTTAAGTTAGTATCAAAGATCATATTAGCTGGGGAAGTAATTTGGCAAGAAGCTAGCCAACTGACATATCCACTCAGATAGTATTTTGCTAGCAAAAATGTTACTAAAGATCCAGTTTGTGCCAGAGAGGCTCCTGCACTTGGACTTAGTACCTAAGTCTGTCTAAATCCTATATTTCATATTTCAGTGTTTTCCTCTAACATCAGGATTTCTTTTCAGCAGTGGGTGGTGCTAAAAATATGATATGGGGCGATGAATTAAATGGATCAAACCACAAATAAGACAAGAATTAGTAAGCTAGCACAGTCTGCAGACCCTTCACCTCACTCCTCGCCTCTAGGACACTACCGCCCATGGAGGAATTGGACGGCAGCTCAGACCTTAGTGCTGTACCAATTTGAATTCAGCTAGTACAAACCCCACCCTCCGGGTTCACAGCGGGATTGTGGCCAGCAGCAGCACAGGGTCTAAGCCGTGTAACTGCAGCAACAGAGGATTTGCTGATGGCGTGGAGTCAGGTGGATGAGACAGCAGTCCAAAATCAGACCCTCTGAACTCTGTCTTGTTCTGGCTGAATGAGTTGTTAAATGTAGGTCCGTCTCTGCCAACTAAAAACACATTATCACTATATATTTTACATGTCACTGTTCCTTTAACGTTAGTGTTTTTTTTCCTCAGTACCGAACCTGAGACGCCCACCTCTAGGACACTATTTTCCAGGAAAGTGGACGGCAGCTCAGACCTTAGCGCTGTTGCAACTTGATTTCAGCTAGCGCAAACCCCAGACACAGGGTTCACAGTAAGCTGGTGGTGGTCAGCAACACTGCTGGGTCTAACCATGTAAAGGCAGCAACAGAAGGTTTGCTGATCCACAGAGGACTCCGGGATCAGATCCTTGGTGCTTGGGCGCTTGGTCTTGCTCTGGCTGAGTTCGAGTTGCTACAGGGCGCTGAGTGAAGTTTTATCATGGACCATCATGAAGTTAGCGGACTCCATTTCCTAGTGTTACTTTAGCTAATATTGCTCACTGTTAGCTTTGGAGCTAGCTGAAGAGAGGCTTGGGAACGTGTAATGTCACATCCTTTTTGGATTTTCCTGGATAATTCAAGTCTTTGACATAGAAGTCAGTCCACAGGCTGTTGGAGGCAACAGAGAAAGACGGGGAAGTCTTAAGTTATGTTACAACCAGTTCACCCACTGGCAATAAAAACAATAATACATGTAAGAAGTTACATACAGAACCTTTAAATAATACACAAACATCATAATACATTAAAATGTGACATTTAAAGTGTGAACACATTTCGTACAGTGTCTGTTCATCGCAGGACAGTTTGTTTTCTCATCAGGACATTTGTTTCTGTTTCTTCTTTGTGTTCCTGTTTAAATTAAAATGCTCTCCTGCAGAAACTCGAGGCAGCAGGTTCATATTCAATACGAAGAGAAGCTGAAGAGGAGATCATCTTCCTCTCCGCTTCTTCTTCAGGTGTTTCTATTTGTGACAGACAACTTGTCACAGTCTTATTTTTTCATGCCTTATGTTTCCTTTTTTTGTTTTCACTGATTGATTTCTCAGATTAAACAGAAGTATGTCCTCCTTTTGAGGCCTCTTCTCACTGCTTCCTTGTCCTTTCCTCTCCTCCCTCCTTGCGTCCTTGCTCCCTAGCTGACAGGATCCACCACCAGCACTTTACACTCCCTCTTGGCGATCTTGTCCAGCGACAGCAGCGTCTTGTCCTGCGGCGGCAGGTAAAGCGGCCGGCCGACAGGAGAGCCAACGGGAGGGGTGATGGCCCGGCGCTCCATGGCACTGCCCGTCCTGACACACAGACAGACAGACAGACACACACACACACGGAAATCTGATTGGATGAAACTTGGTGGGGATTATTACAGCAGTTGCGATGATAAGGTAATGCCCACAAACAAATTCAGGGTGATTTTCTTCTTAAAGTCTCTGCATGATCTTGTCCTACAGTCCAGATTACAAAAAATAACAACGTACATGTACCTCAGTACTGAAGTACAGCACTGAGGTATTGCGTCAAAAGCCAACGCAGCCAGGGTACCTTGCACTTCATATTTTGACGTAGAAAGTCCATGACCGAACGTCGATGTGTGACGAGGTCGGAGTGAGAATGTGTTGATCACCGGCCTCCCGGGTGAAAGTCGGTGCTTGTTACTCAGACTTCCAACACCTTTACCTACCTTGTTGTCTCACCACGTTTCCCCCTGACGGCGCCGGGGGCTTTTAAACAATAACAGCGACCAGCTGCGTATTATGTCAACATGAAAGGACGGCTTTTTTCGTCTGTGTCTGACACAGGAAGTCACTGACCAAGCACTGTATTTTGATGACTTCAGAGTAAGACCAGGTTGCGTCTCCACCCCAAAAAGGCTGTGAGGCCATGGTCTGCGTTATGACATTCTGTAGTCTCATTTAGCTGCTTGTTAGCAACCGTCTTTTTTAAGACACATAAAAGCTTTTAAATTCACAGTAGGGTATTTGCTGACATATTTCATGTTGTAGAACAAAACATGAAACACACCCTGGGTACCTTGCACGTCATATCTCGTGGGGAGTGGAAAGTCCATGACCAAATGTTGATATGTGGCGAGTTTGGAGTGAGAATGTGTTGTGAAACAGTATCCACAGTCTACAACTAGATGAATAAATAAAATAAATCTTCCCGGTGTTTCAGGTCGTACCTCATGATGTGGGATCGAGATGGCTGCTGGTGGGAGAAGGACTGTGATCGACCCAAACTGGCCTGGTGTCGGTCCAGCAGGTCTCGAACCGCCGGGCTGGACGGGCTGTTTTTACCTGGACGGTGACGAGAGGACACGACACGCTCAATAACTTTAGCATCTTATTTACACTGAGTGGAATATTCTAGAGCTGCGCGTATTAGTCAATCGACAAAATCAGCAGAAAACTATTTATCGAATCAATACTACAGTGAGTTCTGATGCTTTTTTTTGTCCTACATGAAAATAAAATGAACAGTTGTGTATTTATGAAGTGATCATCAACATCTGAAGACATCACCTGGGGCTCTGGGAAATTACACTACAGAACATGTTTCACTTTTATAAACTAAATGATTGACGGAGTGAATAAAAGGCAGATTGATTCATAAAGAAATAATAGTTAGCGCAGCTCTAAAATATTCATAACAATATCAAAGGATGTTTTTCTGTTACGTGAGAGCGGCCGAGCATCAGGCGGAGGGTTGGACACCGAGGCAGTGAACTGGAGCTTCAGCTTCATGTGTTGGCTCAGCTGCAGATAAACACAGAGGGAGTTAATGAGAGGAGAGAGCTTCTTCAGGATTAAATGTGTTTGAACTGGTCTGAGATCAGAGTCAGCGTACCTCATACAGTCCTGGTTTGAGGATCTGAAAGGCCACTCTGAAGGACAGAGTGCTGCCTTTGCGACAGTGTCCGAGGTTACTGAGAGGAGTGTGACAAACAACAGCCGCCAGCGACGCGTCCTCACCTTGACCTCGACCTCAACACACACACACAGAGATATAATTATTGACATTATCATGGCTGTATGTGTTGTTGTGCTCCTTCTCCATCTCCTGTAGCTCTGCCCAGGTGTGTCGCCTAACTAGGAACACCTTCTCTAGTAACGAGGTGTTTAAGAGTTTTCATGTCTGATGTTAAAAAAGCTCGTGGAATTAATTGTTCTAAAGGTGTCTTATGTGGTTGATTTGGGTCAGTGGTGAAGTGGTGTTCTCCCCACAGGGCTGCACAAAGTGTAACTAACAGAGTTTTAGTGGACACTCTTGGAGCGTTCGTTAGGGGCGCTGTTGGAGCCCGAAACGTAACATGTGAATAAATTTTCAAGGAGCAGCTTCTGGTGTGCGGACTTTATCTTTTATTTCATACTTACCTTTTGGTCCAGCACCCAGCATTAAGTTTTTTTGGGATGTGTGTGCTACCTTTACCTGTCACTGTTGGTCTGTTATTTACCACACTCCCAGAGCGCAGAGTGACTCTGGGCACAGATGGAGCAGCAGAACATCAGGCACAGTCAAAACCTAATCGTTCATTAGGTCGGAGGTGAACTAACCCTCCCTGCTGACACATAACACTGGCTCTGTGAAGACGTGAAGACTAGACAACATGTTTCCAACATGTCTCACAGTCTAACACTGACTGGTCCTCACAAAGATAAAAGAGTGCATCAGCAGACTGACCCTCTGGAGTCCAGACGAGTCGAACAGCCAGGAAGTCCTGCAGGTTGTTGAGCAGAATGTATTTGACCTTGAAGTGTTCCTTCACCTTGACGGTGCTGGGACAGCTGGCCGTCATGACGAACCGTGGCCGGTCCAGACGGATACTAGGCAACCTAAGAGAGACGGGAGGACAGAGGGAGGGAGGGTAGAAACATGTTGATTTACAAACAGACAGCCAGGACACGTCCCTGCGGACATCAAGGAGCACTGAATTCACTCTTAACAACTTTAAAAGACACTTTAAGTGAACTGCATGTTGCATTTAAAATGTAACTCACGCAGAGACGTGAGTGGGAAAAATTTAAAGGTCCTGCCTACACATGAGCTGCAACTATTATTGTCATTATTGATTAATCTCCAGATTATTCTCACAATTAATTAAAAAATACAATTTCCCAGAGCCCATGGTGCCGTCCTCAGTTTGTTTCTTTTGTCCAACCAATGTCCAAAACTCAACGACTCCTCAGTTACTGTCATAAATTCTCAAATTTAAGCAGCTGAAAACAGCAAATGTTTGACTGAAACAATTAATCCAATGTCAAGATAGTCGGTGATTGGTTTTCTTTAGATCTACTCTTCAATTAATCAACTAATCGTTACAGCTCTCGTCTACTCAGATACTTTCATTTTCCAGTCTCCACATCTTTGTTTTATGGAAACCTTCTGTCCACACTAGAATATATAAACGACTCCCAACACTCGCCAGGCCAGTGGGTGGTGATAAAAGCTACATCAACGATATGTCAAATACAAGAGAAGAAGATTCTGAGTGTGAGCAGTGAGCCGGTGCCAACAAATCAAATAATAACAAAACAGTACGAGCTAATAATTTCTTTATTTGTACATATTTGAAACATATTTATTCAACATCTTTCTGGTGCACGAGGTGCAGTAAAACTGAAACGGGACTCGTGTGGACAAACAACGAGGTAAACAAACTGGTAGACCTCCATCGTTGTTGTTTCTGGAGCATGCTCATTCAAGCAATGCACCCAAATTCGTACATAACCCACATATTTTGAAAGGCTGCGATCACGTGACCAATGTGCTGCCGGCAGTAAAAAATATGAAACAGTCCTGAAAAAACCTGACTTTCGCTCAGGACTTTCCCCTGGAGTCGCATGTTCGAATCCTCGTGACCTTTGAGTCATTTTACAGTACTTCCTCAACATGTTTCTTTTCCTAAATCTAACCACAGTAACTTTACGTTAACTACATAACTGTACGTTAAGAACGTAACGTAACGTCATTCATGGGGCACAAATCCGTAGGATATCATACGAAACACTCTAGGAGAATACGTTGGCTCATTACACACAGCAACGACATGCAAATGTTTTAAAACATCTGCACCTTAGAAGTTGTTTTCTAAAACTCAGTTTGTGGACGAGGGGCTAAAAGGTGAAGGAAAATATCTGATTTCATAGAAGTAGAAGATGATTGGCGGTTAAAATTAATTACAAATTACGCCTTACTCCCCTCCTGCTGGTGGCACCCAGGTGATGACCTTCTTCACCTACCTGCTCAGTTCTTACCTGTAGTGGGTGTAGATACAGTTGGTGAAAGGCATCTTGGGAGTCGACCACTGCAGTACAGCGACCAGGGGAACCTCCAGCCCCTTCAAAATAAAACATACGAAAAACTAACATGTTGTAGTGAGATAAAGGAAAAGTTCTGACCACAAGAGGAGTTCATACAGGTGGAATACAGGATATACTGAAGCGGTGCAGTCGAGTCATGAAACATGGACCTGGAGACAAATGTTACATCATGTATGTTTTTCAAACGCTGGAGAAGAAATTGAGGTTTATCAAAAAATTGTTTTCCACTTTCTGCAAACTGCAATAAAACGTTTTTCTCTCTTGAAGTAAATCATGTTTTCTAAGAACCAGACAACAGTTTTTGTCTCTCAATATTTGGATTTATGGATTTCTAAACATGTTAAACCTTCTTTACATCGGGACATCTTGGCAGAAAATATATAAATCTGCTTTTCAAAAATGTCCCGACCAAATCAGGCCCTAATAACCACAGAAAATCTCACAAAGACCATAGTTAAACAACAGAAATAAAGTCAATGATAAGAAAAACATAAAAGATCACGAACCTCGTTGGAGTCGTCTTGTGGCATGTCATTGAGGTGAAGCTGAAACAGGAAGTCGTGCTCCTCCAAAGCGCTGAGCATGCTGGGAAGGCGGCAGGCCAGGCTGTCCACCCTGCAGAAAGACGCCATGCCGACCTCACCAGACTGATGGCTGCAGAGCAAGACACAAAGCAGTTTTAAACCATCAAACTTGTGTGAAAACTGAGATGTAAAGACTCGCAACAGAGGTAACACTGTTTAATTTAACTAAGCAGATGGAAACAGGGCGTCATGTAAGGTCAAGTTCAGACCAAAAATTCACAATGAGACGAGCTGAAACAAACAACTTCTTTGTAAAAAGCTGGCGGTTAACAGGAAGTGACCACCATGACATGGTGTATCATCTCTAGTCAACGACTCTCTGTGCTTCTGATCTGTAACGTTGACAGGAAGTGACCACCATGAGACGGCGTATCATCTCTAGTCAACGACTCTCTGTGCTTCTGATCTGTAACGTTGACAGGAAGTGACCACCATGAGACGGCGTATCATCTCTAGTCAACAACTCTGTACTTCCGTTCTGATTTGCAGCTTTTCAGACTTATTTTGTGGCTGAATATAATTTGTAGATTCTTAAAATCTGAATGAGGATAGTGATAGTGAGATACTGGCTACAGTGATGAAACAAAACCAGCATCAGATGGACTGTATTCATAATCAATACGCCACAATAATATAAATAAACAGCAGCAACATGCCGTCTGCGGTCATTTTGACTTGACCAGTGGATTTCACTACAAGCTGATTGGCTGTTGAAACAGGTTGGGGGAAACACTGTGGGACAAGGATGAAAGTTAAATTGGCAAAAGTCTGTCTGAGGCGGGCGGGAGGGATGCTGGATGGATCCGTCAAACAGACTTTCACCCGAGAGATTTCGACTTTCGTGTCCCGTACGATTGTAATGCCAACCCTGTTCTTTTTTCCCTTAACCCAATTACATGTTTTTGTTAAAAAACAAAATACATGGAGTGCTACTTGGGTGTAGAAAAGGGTGTCCCTCTGGTGCTCTTCAGTTTAGGGATCCAAGTAGAACTTAAACGAAGAGATCTGAGGCACTCAGAAGGGTGATATCACCCTTCTGAGTGCCTCAGATCTCTTCGTTTACGTTCTACCTGTTTTTGTTGTTGGAAAGGAAAAGGAAAAAAAAAGTCAAATTGCGGTGTTGTACTGACGTAGTGCTTTTATTTTGAAAGAGACTGTATCAAACTGTACATTTCCTGTGAAAACAGAAGTGTATTTTGAAAACAGACAATGCATGTAACAGGCTGAAGTTGACACGGCGTCCCAGAACGTCAACAATCAACACACCCAGGGTACCTTGGACGTCATATGTGGACGTGGAAAGTCCATGACCAAATGACATATTTCCCCGTCACATATATGCTCTGTAAAGCCCAGACTTCACTGTTGGTCCATTTGTGCGTTTCAAGTTTTTCTTTACGAGCTGTTCAAACAGCTAACAGGTTTTTAATAGTGCCAGCTGCATTCAACCAATCACCACATACTCATGGTTCCTCTTGTGCTCGGGGAGTATAGTCTGAAATAGGAGCTAAAAAAGTCCCTCAGAATGATGTTCTAAGAACTGTGATAATTCCTCGTTCTTGTGGTGTGAACACGAAATAAAACCACGGTTTACAACTATGAAAAATTCCGTAAGTGCCTTGTGTGTTACCAGTGCATTAATTTAAAGTGGTAAACAGACGGTTTCACTGGAGCAACTCAGGAGCCATCCATAATCAGGAATGAACAGAAACCCTGCAGCCAATCAGAATCCAGTATACACCTGGACCACGATGTAACACATGATAAAACAATACACGTCAGACATGACAGAACTCCACATGTTTCTGTACATACCACACGTTGTCCACCAGCAGCACGGAGCCATCCGGCATCATGGGAAGGTAGGAAGCATTGAGGTTTGGTAAAATCCGAACGTCCCGAACACTCACTTCCTCCTGTGAAGACTCGTTCAACACTGACAGGAAGGAGGAATAAGAATAAGTATTTTAGTTGTAGACCAAAGTGTTCAAAACTCTGAAACAAAATAATTCACTTTTATCAAAAGATTATTTTAATGGCTTTTTTGTGCCGACCACACAGGAAGTGTTTCAGCAGCTGGCAGTGGCTTTTTGTAATAGTTTTAATACGTTTTTGCCTTAGCTCTCTGAACTCCTTGAGATGAAAAAACTTTCCATTGTCCAGTGGGATGATCTGAGAGGCTGTGTCACTTCCTGCCTTAACCAGATTCACTGCCTTGTCCTCTGCTCCACTATCTTTACATTATGAGCCTGTTGGTCTGGTGTGAATCCCATAATAACAATATAAAAAGAATGATCGCTGACCTTTGAGGACGGCGAGGTGTCTCCCAGAGACGGTCATCTGTTTACAGCGGACAGTGGGAGGCGGCAGGACGGTCAGAGTGGTGCTCACTGTGGACGGAAGCAAAATACATGTTAACTAACCAACAGTTAGTTTTATTACAGATTAATCGTTCAGTCTGTGAAATGTCAAAAAAAGTGAAAATTGCAATTTCCCAGAGTCCGAGGTGATGTCTTTGATCTTTTTTTATGCGACCAACAGTTAAACCCCCAAATAATTTCAGTGTAAGATCATACTGGACAAAGGTGAGCAGCAAAGCCTCTTAGCTAAAGCTGTGTGTGCCTGCCTTGAAAAATGCGTGAGGTCCCAACATTCCTCCTTTATGAATACCAGTTTATGTGGCCATACACATGCCATGTATTTTGCACCCTAAAATCAATGGCTTTCAGCGTAGACGCGCGGCAGTCTATAGCCCTTGTGACGCACATGTGTTCCTGAGTGCCTGTTTGCCAGTTCAACTTTTGGAACGCAGCAGTGTGGACCGCATGTGACGAGGAACAACCAATCACAGCTGGGAGAAATCTTTCCTTCTTCAGTAAATATCAGTCTGTGATAAATATGGAGGAGAAGTTGATGATGTTAGTGCAGAGCTGTCAGAGCGTCACGTCTATCCCTGAGACGATAGGCCAACAAACAGAAGATCAGCTCTGCTCTCAGGATTTCATGTAAGTTGGCCATGATGCTGTGCATGTTATGGTTGCTTAACAACTTCAGACGCCACCTGCCTCCACGCTCTTGAAAGTTGGTGTGAAAAGAAAGACGTGGCACGTGTACGGCCCCTGTGTGTGCAGAAAGGCGTAAGCGTGGGTACACATTGTTTAAGCTTCTGGCCCCTGGCCGTCATGACGGGGACACGCTGCCTCCCTCTGTCTCCAGACTTGGTTTCATGGTTAAGCATTACAGACCAGGAAATGGATTAACTCATGAGGGTCCTCACAGGTATGAAAGCAGAAAGGTGTGTGTGTTGTACCCTGAGCTTTGAAGGTGTTCAGGTCGTGTCTGAAGGTGTGTGTTGGCTCTCGTTGCTGTAGGACGCTCAGGTAGCCGAGCTCCTGCACCTCCGCTTTCTCTGCCTCCTTCTTCCACACCGTGACCATCACCTGAACGCACACAGAAGAAGAAAACTGCTGACCAAACACACTATGCTGACTCGTCACCCAGCATGAATAGTCACCCAAAAAAATAACCATTTGTGTATTAATAACTCACCCTGTGTAACACTAAATCTGTGAAAAAATTTCAGGCCATAGTAGCTCAGTGGAGAGAGCGGGCGTCCCATGTACGAAGCCAACAGGCTCATTTGAGATGAGTCAGGCCTGCGCAGATTCCATCACTGGCGATCGCAGCACGATGCATGCCAGTTAGTTTTGTGTCTGACTTCATACCAACTTGCTCTGACGCCATACAAAAGTGGACAGCGATAATCTTGTGAGATCAAGGCGATTGCAGTTTTTAGAGTCAGGCCCTGCAGCAAGATGCAGGCCGATCTCGTCCACTTTCCAGGCGAGGCACAGTTCATCTTGATAGAGTCTAATGTCCTTGCCGCAGTGGCTGTGGGTTCAATTCCAACCTTTGCTGCATGTCATTCCCCCTCTTTAATACTTAATACTGTCCTATTGATTAAAGGCAAAGGCCCACAAAATAGTCTTTAAACGACAAAACGTGGGGCGTTGGTTGCGTAGAGGATAGTGCTGGCGCCCCATGTACAGAGGCACCACCCTGCTGCAGTGGCCGTGGCCTGCAGCCCTTTGCTGCGTGTCATTAAAAAAAAAAAAAGCAAAACAGAACAAAAAAACAAAGAGGAATTAAAGTAAACAGGGTCCACGTTAAACAACAGGAAAACTACATCAAAACATGCGTCTACCCATTCTCACACAACTTGTGCAGAATAATCCAAGTCTCATTTATCCAGTGGTAGGCGCAAGTATGTGTTTGAACCCTGCTTGTGTATTGTATTGTACAGGTGTTCTACTCATCCATGGGTGAGACTTTTTGTGCAAGTGTGTTTTAAATTTCAAGGTTTGGGCAAAGATGCAAGTGTCTGGGAAGGACTGTTGTTAAACACAACCCCTTTTGTTTCAGTTCATGAAGAATGTTCTTTGGATTCTTTGTTCACCATAAAGAGATTCAACATAACCCTGGGTGAGAAACTGATATACAAATGATTATTTTGTGGGTGAAAATTCTCTTAATGTTTAAATCCTTAACCTGTGTGGTGTCTTCATGATGTTGGAACTCTGTGAAATTATACAAGCTTGAAGGTTTCTAGAAGCAAACCACAGGTCCCCATTTCGCGGTGGACCTAAGATCAATTTCTTGGATCCCACCTGAGTTTGCAAACAGCTTTTACACTTTACCAACAAACTGTGAGGGAGAACAGACGGACAGATGTTCCTCCTGACCTTGACTTTCAGGGTGCTGACGGGGAGTTTGTCCAGAGACACGGTGAGGGGGAAGATCACTTCATCTGTCAAAACCACTGGCTCGTCCAGAGGAGACTGACATGGAGACACAGACACACTGATGAGAAGTCATGATGAACCCTTACTGAGCAGCAGCTCAGGGTTCAGTAACCTCAGCTCAGAGGTATTATAAATATATGAAAATAAGTGATGTAGTTTGTAGATGCCAGCGTCAGCAGAGGGAAGCACTGGGTGGAGAATGGCACTGATGTTCACTTATAACTCACTCCATAACATAACTTTTCATGCATGTACAGCACAGCAACACACTGATGTTGGGCAGGTATAATGTGTGCACCATCTTAGTATAGCATGTTAGCATGCTAACTGTTGCTAATTAGCAGTAAACAGAGACCAGCTGAGGCTGAAGTGAATGTCATCAGTTCTGCAGGTATTTGGTCATAAACCAAAGTGTTGGACATGTAAACATGTTGACCTGATGACAAGTCAGAGGATCACTAAAGTTTTTACAATTCGGGCTTTGACCTACAGGTGACACTAAAGGATAAATCAGGAGGGAGCAAAGGTCGGAGGGGTTCATCCTCTGGGGATCATGAATGTCAGCACTAAATCCATCAACAATCCATCCAATAGTTGCTGAGATATTTCAATGGATATGTTAGAACTCTGACCTGCCTGTGGCTCTGAGGGGTAAGTAATGAAGGCATCAACTTCAGTAAGATTTGTCTTTAGGGGATCATGAATGTCTGCACAAAATTTCATATCAATCCATCCCATTGTTGATAAGGTATTTAGTTCTCCTTCCTTTCTAGACAATCAATGTGAGTCTCAACACCGCTGTACCTGAACAGGCGCCCTGCGGAACTCCCTCACCGCCGTCCCAGATGAGTTGTGGATGAGCAGAGGCTTGCAGTCCCTGAAGCTCCGACACCGGGAGTCCACCCTGCTGCCGAGCGCCGCAATGGCTGCCTCTGCTGCTGCAATGTAGTCTTCCTCACCGTCATCGTTGGCTTCATCCCCGCTGCTCTGGTAGTCGTGGTGATGCTGGTGGTGGTTGCCCCGATGGCGGCTACTTTCACCTGGACTCACGCTGGCCACGGCACACAGAGATCCAGCCAGCTCTCTCCACGCCCGGCTACTGGCCGACTCTGTCCCAAAACCGGCTGCACTGCCGTCTGTGCCCCCTGCTGGAAAATCATGTGCACACACAGATGAATTCATGCTTGTGACAATCTTGATTGGCTACATTCATTGTATAATCCTGACCCCCTGATACTGTCTCTGCTTTTAGCCCTGATTTGGTCCAGTGTTTTTAATATTTTGGCCCTGGTTTGGCTCAGTATTCTGCAGAGTATTAGCTCTGGTTTGGCTCAGTATTCTGCAGTGTATTAGTCCTGGTTTGGCTCAGTATTCTGCAGTGTATTAGTCCTGGTTTGGCTCAGTATTCTGCAGTGTATCAGTCCTGGTTTGGTGAAATATTGTCCGGAGTTCTGTTCTTCATCTGGTTTAGTGCTCTCTGGTGATTTGGTTAATTCTTCTCTTGTGATTTGGCTCTGGTTTCATCAATATTCATCACATACATCAACAATCATTATATCAAATGTCCCCTGTTATTGGGTTGTGTTTTGTCCCTGCTCTGACTCTGTATGACAGATATGACCTCTGCACAGCGTCTGGTAAAAACAAAGATGGAGAAAGGTGCAGAATGAATTTGATCTAACAGCAGGATTCCCTCCGTGTTGCCTCTAATTCACGTTGAGTAAAATATAAAATGATGTAAATATTGTTTAGTCTCATCACACTGTGAGTCCCTCTATGAATATTAGAGGACATTAAACATCAGCATGCTGACACCACGGGCTCAGTACTGATTAACGCACAGTGATTGGCTGTATTACAGAGACATGAAACATATCTCGGTTTATCTTTCTCCCTCCTCCCTTTCATCCTGTGCCAGTCGGATGTGGGCATCCTCCTCCTGCCCTCCCACCTCCTCCCCCTTACCGGGGCCGTGCTCGGTTGGCGTCGCCCCAGCGTCCCTGCAGCGCAGCACCAGGAGAAAGCGGACCGTCTCGCCCAGGTAGAGGTGACTCCGGCGGGGCAGAGTGCGGTACCGGGCCGGGTCCGACAGATCCGTGATGGGCACCGCCGGGAAATACATGAAATACTCGCACTGCGACTCCATCATCTGCACCATGGCGACGACCGGAGGAGGCTGAGCGAGCAGGGACAGGACCGGAGTCAACAGACAATAAAACACACACACTTCCTGTCGTCACTTTCAAAATAAAAGCACGCACATTGTCTGGGTTACAGAAAAATTAGACCAGTGCGCCCCGCAGTGGTTTATTATCAAAAACAACAACAATACAGTCAGACATCACAGGTTATTGAAAAGAACAGGAAACATGTCAGGATAATTGTCAAAATACATAAAATAACAAAAGACAGCAAATATAAAGTGGTACAGCAGGTCCATGGACTTCTCAACTGTCTCATGGTTGACCTATACATGTTATCACTGAAAGTTAACTAACGTGATTAAGAAGAAAAAGATTGTGCTTCAGGTGGGAAGAGATAAAGGAGATGTAATTTTCTGCATTTAAAAAGACAAGAACATGAGACATTAAATAAAAACACAATGGCCAGTTCATATAGCTCAGCTATAATGTTTAAATCATGTTAACTTTATAAATGAAACTGCAGTATAGATAAAGAAGGTAGATATGTTTATATATTTTATACATTTATAGAATGTAATGTATAATTTTTATTTAACACACCGGTCCTTGGGAAGTATTCCATACAGTAGGCTACTTATTAAAAATAGGAAGATACTTTAGACCATGGAAACTGATTTTTGGTTTGATGTATAAAGACAACTGTTGACTCATTTACAACTTTCAATTAGAATTAATTCATAACTTTCTAGCAACTGGAAAAATGCTAAACATTTAGGAGTTTACTTTTTTTTCCCCGTTAAAGGGTTTTTTTGGGGAGTTTTTCCTGATCAACTGTGAGGGTCCAAAGAGGGATGTCATATGCTGTAAAGCCCTGTGAGGCAAATTGTGATTTGTCTTATTGAGCTTTATAAATAAAATTGATTGGTTAAAGTTATAACATCCTGCCAAAGTAATCAATCAATTCAAAGTTACTTAGATAGGTGGAAAAAGTTTATTGAAGCTGAGGGGTGGTGAGAAAAGATGTGGGGTGAAACTTAAAACTGTGAATGGTCTCTGCTCTTATATCTCTTTACGAATGCCTGTTTTGTCAATTTGAATTTGTAGCGGTCGAGCTAATTTTGCAATATTGTTATGATTGTATGACTATTTGTCCATGTGTCATGTGAGGTACACTGGGCACGTTTACATGCGCACAATAATCAGATAACTGGGAATAATCAGGTAATGGTAATAATCCGATTTGACGTGTTTACGTGCACTTCAATAATCTGATAATCAGAAAAACCTGGTTTACATGATTCAGTCCTTCAGTTGGATTTCTCCCCAAGTACATGACATAAAACTCAAACTTCCTGTTACAGTAGGTACTCATATCCTTGAAAAACCTTGAAAAGTACGCAAGTCATATATTTGCAAAATAAAGCACTCATCATGCTGACAGCTTATATTCTTACAGTACTGTTTGTTTTTATCATTAACAAATACATGTGAGAGCATTCTAAGTTAGTTAGTTTATAAGTTTAAGTTATTTACTTTATTAATCTCCCTGAGGGGAAATTCAGTGTTTTCACTCTTGCTTGTCAATTACACACAGGTCTGAAAGACACACACATGCACAAACAGGACCTATACATGCACAAAGTGGAGAGATGTCAGAGTGAGGGGGGCTGCCCTTGGTGAGGTGCCCCAAGCGGTAGGGGGGAGAAATTCAATGCTCAAGGGCACCTCAGCAGTGCCCAGGAGGTGAACTGGCACCTCTCCAGCCACCAGTCCACGCCCCATATTTTGGTCCGGACGGGGACTCGAACAGACGACCCTCCGGTTCCCAACCCAAGTCCCTATGGACTGAGCTACTGCTGTGTGTGCCTAATGTGTAGTTTATCAATGTGTAGCCAGTTTTACATACTTTGGGTAGATTCGTAGTAGAAGTACTGCAAAGTGCAATATACAAGTGTATTGTACATAAACTTGTCACACAAAGTGCATAACATATAAGTAAGATAAAATAAAAGTGACAATTTAAACACTGAGAATGTAAAAATATATTATTTTATGTAAAATCTTTATCTGAAAGGAAACAAAAGCTGTCAGATTAACGTAGTGGAGTAGAAAGTACAATATTTCCCTCTAAAATGTAGTGGAGTGGGAGTGTAAAATAGCAAAACATGAAAGAAACCAGATTAAAGGGTATACATGCACCGAATAATCTGACTATTGGGGAAAAAGCTAGATGTGTTTATCTGATTTCTCATAATCAGATAATAGCTTTTATCTGATAAAGCACATCGGATTATGCTGTTTACATGACCACTTGAATAATCAGGTAACTCCAGAAATCAGATACTGATCGGTTTATTAGTGTGCATGTAAACGCGCTCATTGTTTAGTTTTTGTCTGCCGTTTTTTTTTGTCTGTTAGTATGTTATGATGGAGTGATGCTGTTTGTTTGTGTATTGGTTGTGTTGTATGTAATCACCACCTGCTCACACTGAACTCCACCCCTAAATGCCAAAAGTGACAATTTGTTTTACAAGAACATGATGAATAATTAATATCAAAATGAGAACAAAAGAGAGTTTCTGGTTGTGATTTTTCAAACATTAGCATAAGATAAATACGCCTACAAAATACAACCATCAAAATATGTCTACCCCTGTCCTAAGCCAAAAAAACCTACACAAAACAAAAAAACATAAGCTCCTTCCCACTGCTTTTATTTAAGTTATCTAATTTTTAAAGTAAAACATGTTTTCCAAACACGCCTGCAGGTTTGGAAAACATGTTTTCTTTAAAAATTTGCATAAGAATAAATACAAAATACAAAATACAACCATAAGCCTAAATACAACACAAAAGCTCTTTCCCACTGCTTTATTTAAAAATTATTTATTTTATTCTTTTATTTAAAATTATTTGACATTATTTGACCTTTATAAGTAACAATCAGTCCCTTATTATATTATTATTATTTTAGATTTTTAAATTGTAGAAGCTGTTTTTTCCTTAAGTTGTGTTTTTCTTAATTTGTCAACATGTCATTAAGACAGATGAAAAGTAGTGGTTGTATTTATTATATTGGAGAGGGAAGGCGGAGCAGAGGGGCAGTGAGAAATGGGGGATGTGGCTGATTATCTGGCAACCCGGAGTCGCTCCCAATGGCACGTAGATGTTTTTAAATCGTCGGTGACATCGCCGGTGCTGACGGTTGTTTGGTCGGTAAAAGACGTCACATCGACGGTTGACAGAGCGAGACGGAGCTCTGTGATTGGCTCCTCGTGATCCCTCAGTTTTTGCAAATTGTGTGGCGTTTTCCGGTTTCTACTAATCTGCGTCACCGTCGCCATTTTGTTTCTCTACGAGAAAAACCGCGGGTAAAAAAACTAAGTTAGCTCAAAGTAAAGTTAGCCTGAAGGAAACCTTTACTAGCTGCTAAGGTTTGAATCAGAGAGATCCTCAGCTTGTGTTCAGAAGATGGAGGACACCTGACCATTGGAGGAAAAGTAAAATGTAAGTAAGAACGTTAGCTAGCATGTTTACAACTAAGTTAACAATAACCAAACATTTAAGCTAACAAACATCTAGCAATGCTAACTAGCATACTTTTACTTTTACCCTTTAATATGCTTTATATCAGAGGTGGGAATAAGGGTCAGGGTACCTTCAGGCAGTTCGTTTTTTCGTTTTAAACCAAAAACGAAAAAACGGAAATACCATGGTTTTCCCGTTTTTTCCTTTATGGTTTAAAACAAAAAAAACAGAGCCGTTTTTCCGTTTTTGTTATCAGAATCAAAAAATGAAAAACGACAAAACCAAATTCAAATAACAGCCCGATTTGGGTTTTTTGCAGATTCATTTTTTCATTTATTGTTTTGGACAAAATGTAGAACTGTGGTGACATCAGAGGCAGAAGTAACTTCAAAATAAAAGACAGGAAGATAAGCTTGCCTATAAAACTTATAGATATCCTATAAAACTTTCCCATGTATCTTTTATTTCCACTTACACCTGATGTTTTGCGCATTTTGAAAAGCTGCCTGCCATTGCTGTGAGGAACTTTTTATTCATAAAAATAGAAATAAAATGTTATGATCGCAAATTTTATGGCTACAGTAAAACTTGTTGTTCAACCATAACGTTGCTGTTCAGAGACTAATAAGGGAAATCGTCATGCATATTGTTCCCATGAAGGACGTATAGGGATTCCCTCAAAGGTTGTGTTTTAATATTCATTCGCCGAATTGTTTGCAATAAAGTAATCGAGGATATAATAATTATTGTGTGTGCCGTGTTGTTAACACGGGGTTTCTCCATAAGGCATCGTTGTGTCAGCAAAGTGTCAAGCTGATGTTTGTCCTTTTTACCAGCAGATGGCAGTAGGCCTATGAATTTATTTGCTGTCGTTGAAAGCCTGCCCTGCGTTTCCAAATTGCATACTTCTACTATATACTTTTAGTATGTACTGCAGCTGCCCTTAAAAAGTATGTAGTGTAGTATGCAGTATGCATACTATTGGGACACACTACATCCGCCATCACATCGCTCCCTGAACTCCGACCCTCTTGCTCACTTCCGCTGCCGTCCGTAGCGCCACATTTGAATATTTTGTTTTGTTGTACTTGTTGAGATGCAGCAAATCTCCTCTTGTCGAGCTCGCCAGAGTCGTGCATACCGTTGGAGGTGCCAGAGAGCTCTGTTGCTGTTATGTTGTAATGTATGTTGTTGTTTCTAATAAACTGACGTGTTCACGTAAACAGTCCCAAGCCTATTATTAGTGACCTGTCTACTGAACTAGTCACCAGTAGGCATATTAACCCCCTTCACACACAGCTCTCTGTTGCTGGCAGATGTTTGATGTTGAATATATTTACAGCTTTGCAGGTGCTGGCACTATATTCTGTCTGCACGTGAAGCAGCCTTACATTCACATTACTTTTATTTGTAGTGTAACATACTTGCACATTCTTACTACATTACTTAATATGTATTTGACT